GGGGGCAATCACTTTTTCACACAGGGCCATGTAGGTTTGGATTTTTTTCCCCTTAATAATAAAAACGTTCATTTAAAAACTGCATTTTGTGTTTACTTGTGTTATCTTTGTCTAATATTTCAATTTGTTTGATGATCTGAAACATTTCAGTGTGAAAAAACATGCAAAAAAATAAGAAATCAGGAAGGAGGCAAACACTTTTTCACACCACTGTACATGCATATAGAGTGTACATATCTATATGGATTTCACTATGCTTTGTGCTCATAAATTCTTGTCAAAATTGATTAATCAAGCTGGGTCTTAAGTGAAAACTAATCACTGACTCACTGACCTTGGACAACCTTTGTCTCTTCCTGCAAAAAAGCTGTTAAAGAAGGCCTCCCTACTGGACATGAGTCTACACTTCCACAAGGCTATCCTGGTTAAATCACGTCTAATTTAGCAGCTTTGCTCACAGTGAGGATGTCACACATGTAATTATGTGTGCAGCTTTTTAGACATTTTGTGGTTGGAGTAATGCATTTCAAACTGTTTAGCAATCATGCACACAAATGTAACTGAGGCTCTAAAATAATAGCTAACAAACGTAAAGATCCAAGTGATCATATCAGGAGAGCACCAGGAGTGACAGCAGGACTGACTCAATCGCTTCTGTTGTCAGAAAAAAGGAGCTTCTGAACTGGCTACAGCACGAAGAGCCATTTCTGCTCCTAAAGCAATGAGATAATGTCACAAAGAGAAAACATCGAGCTTTGGCAGGCAAAATTAAAACAATTTCAGATAACACGCAGAACTCCGTAGTTCCTGCCAGGGCTGAGCTAATGCCTCATTTCGATGTGATTTTTTTAATGGAAACCGTATATATTTATCATCTTCAAAAACCAAAACTGGTGACAGTTGCGAAATAAAAAAATATGCAAATGGATCAATTAGAAAACAAGCCAGGAAGAATACAGATACTGTAGTTTGTGACCTGCCGATGATTAGAAATTAATCTGTGATGAAGTTCTTGCGTTATCTTTTTTCCTTATGAACACATTTTCAGGCTTCTCATTTCAAGCTTCTCCGCCCCTTCCATCATTACAGGACTGGGCATTTTTTAATAAAAATCACAAAAGTTTTAAGTATTTAATTCTCGATGCATTGTATTATTACAGAGGAAATGAAAAAAGGTGGAGCTGGAAGAGGCTTAAACACAAGACTAATTTCCTAAACGCTGGCATATAACAATGATTACGCATCTGTCAATCTCCCGGTCACCGCGGCCTGTTTTTTTTTTTCTTTTAAGATTAATGCAAGAGAATGAAAGCAAATTAGCTGGTAAATTAGAGCGGCATCATTTTCTTATTCATTGGCCCACCGCACTGCTCGAGTGGCTTTAGTATTCTGGTGTGCGCCATGTGCTTCCTCGGCCCCTTCTGCACGCAGAATGTTAATAAGACATTAGAACACTCTAAAGGTTGCGCATAATCTTAGCACTTCTTCCTCCCAGCAAAGGACCGCGAGGCACCGCAGAGCAGCTCCTGCTGCGCAAGTGTGTTCTGAAAAGCCCATTTTGGTCAATACGGCCATAACGCTTTATTTTTTGATGAGTGTTGCGAACCATGTCCAAGCATTGATTGCTGGTAACAGGGGTCAAAAATAGGGCAAGCCTGTCTTACGCTCCATCCTTGCTAATGGCCCTTCGCTGCCAATGTCTTAACTCACTCGTTCATTTAGGCTTCTGATTAGCATGACATAGCCTTTTGCAAGCACTTCCTATCACAGAGTGGCCACACAGCATTAAATATAACCCCACTTCTGAGGCAGAAGGGCGCAGGGAAGCCAAAGAGCAAATTAGACTCTGCAGGGACGGCTAGCGCTCAAGAGCAGGCGTCAGTCAAAAAGGCATCTGAGAATACAGCACAATTAAATGTCCCGGTCTAGTAACTCAAACAGGAGGGTGAAATGAAAATTTAGCATGCTAGTTTATTTGAGGAGCATAAAACTAGTGAAATTGTTGTTTTTTTTGAGGAGGTGGAGTAGTTACGTGTGAGACCTCCTTTGATCTCACTGTACTGTTCATGTATTTTTTTTTTAAAGTCAACACATTTAGAAAATAATTGTCCTTTCTGACCAACACCATGGTAACTGAAGTCACCTCCTGTCCCAAGAGCATAAGGCATGTTTAATCAATTTCATGAGACATGACAATAATGGTACCTGATGGGGCGTCTGCTGTCTGTGGTCATTGCCCCTGAAACAGTGCCTGTGACTCAGAGTAAGACTAGAGATATTGTCTTAGGTCAAGTGGCACTGGGCACTGCTTTTCAGAGTTACTGAAGGCCACAGGTTGACACTGAATCAATAGAAACAAGTCTGCAGCCTCTGCCCATGAGAATTAGTGAAAAAGACTACAAAAAAACAAAAAAACACAATTGAACTCAAAGGCTCGTGACACCATGAAGCTTCAGCACCATCACTGAAAACAAAACAAGCAGAAAATTCAGGTGACTCTAAAACAAAGCTGGCAGATTATTTTGATCTAGATACTAATAAATTGTCCAGTAGGTGTACCTGTAGAGACCGAGGTGCGTGGGAGGGTTTGTGTGGTGGTGGTTGTGTGGGGTACACAGGTATTACTACAGTATATTTGTCTAGACTGAATTTGAATTTTTTTTTCAGAAAGGCAGAACCTCCTGGGAAGCAATTTATTTTTTTATTATTTTTTAGAAATCAAGGGTCGTCTTATTTAAAATCTAAAAGCGGCAAAAATGCTTCATTTTGAGTCGACTTTCAGCCGAAAGTTGGGGGGTCATTTCCACAGGTTAGACGAGAGTCAATGAAAACTGAATGAGAGCCAATGGTTCTGTAGGTCCTCACTGTACAAGTATGTGTGTGTGGTGTGCACATGAACATAGCAAAGAAACACACGCACAGAGCAGACCGGAGCCATAATTCTGAAAGACAAACGAATTTCAAAGCCAGAAAATTATCTTACAGAACATCACCCACCTTTCCATCAGATTCACAGATGACCCGCTGCGCCTCTTTGAGCTTCCCTTCCTCACTACTCAGCTAGACAGAGACAAGACAGACAGAGCAAGAAAAGAAAGAAGCAGATTATGGCAGAGAGAGAAGCGAAATACCTTTTCAAGAGCCCAACAACTTTCCAGTGAAAGACATAAGCAGACCTTTTTTTATTATTTCCTGCTGGAAAAGCCTCCACAAACTACATGGTTCTCAAGACACCCACAAAAGAACAGAAAAGGGAGAGGAAATATGGATTCAAATGGAACTGAAGCGACAGTGTGGATGGTGGTGACAGTGATGGCATATTAGAGAAGAAATGTTATTATATTGGCTAAGACATGGACAGAGAAATGGTCTCATTAGAGTTCAATCATTGCCAAAACTCTCAATTTGATCACTTGATGAAGTGCAAATTGTTTCAAGAGCTGGCACAGAAAAGCACCTGAAATGAAACATTTAATTATTTTAGCATTGTACAGACAAGGGTCAAGGGCTTCCAAACACGATCGCCCTAGAGAAAACATCAAGGAGGGATGTCTGTGTTTTTCCAAGAGACGTTAAACGTGACCACTGTTTCATTAACCAGATTTTCTCTATAATTAATGACTAATTTGAAATGAAGTTCATTCCACTGAATAAACGAGCAGCCCTGATAACTCAAGCACAGAGAAAGAAAGAAGCCAAGGCTCCACAAGACTTTTAGTAATTGGGAAAATATTGCTCAGTCTGAGTGTCGGTATGATATTAAATCTGTCGTTGAAGGGTTTCTATTCAGCACAGAGTATACGGAAAGGTTTCCCCATTTAACAGGCAGAAAATGAACATTAAATATTTATACACTTTAAAACTCTATTTACCTAGTTCTCACCAGCATTTTATGTTTTTTTTCCCATCATCCTCTATTTCCGTTTTTCCTTTTCTATGTATAAATAAGAGGGACACTGATTTTTTTTCCTGAAGACTTCAGTTTTATACACATGACAACAGTCTGTTAATTTCTGTTTTTTTTTAAAAGGGTGACTGAGCTCAAGCCAATAATGTGTGACGTAAAGCCTTGGGCTTCAAGCAGTTTAAACAGGAATAGATTCAAATACAGCAGCATTTGCACTTTGTGCAGGTACCCCATCCAGACATAGCCCTGCTACTACTGGTGGGTGCACACTATTAAATATTTACAAAGAATAATGGAAAAGGATTAATCTTGCTTGCAGGTTGTGAACAAGGCCCTGTATATTAACTCGAGTCAGTTCAGGAAAAAAAAGATTTGTCTTCAACATTTTTAATGTTGAGTCAACTGGAAACGTCAGTGTGTGAATGCTGCTGCAGAGTTAGGCGCAGGACCTGTTGCGCCGGGTTTTGGAGAAACCGCCCGGTTGCTAGGCTGTGATCCAAGAGCGTGGGCCATGGCAACAAGGAGAGCCAATGGAATAGTGAGCTGCATCATCTCTGGCATCTCAGGCTCCACTCTGTCAAGGTCTCCATCAAATTTCAGACAATAACGAGGAGGAACTGTAAGATATGCCAGCTGGCATTTATTCTCTGGGGTTTAACCGTCTGTTCTGTTAAAACTCCAGGGCAGAAAAGGGTGTCAGCTCTAATAAATTCTTTGTTATTTTGGTATGGGAGACTTTTACAAGAATGCTACAAGAAATCGTGAATAACTGGGAATGCTGGTGACTATCTCCTTAGTATTTAATAAGTTATAAGATTGTTGAGATTGTTTTAAGATTTAAAGTTTCTCCATTAGTAAAAAAAAAACTCAAGGTGTAAGGCTTCAAACTACAGAATAAAAAGTAAGGGATAAAAAAGAAGAGCCAACAAAAGATGATTCACAGGCTCTAGCAGGGTGAAACGTCATTGGAATATAGTAAATATGTAGTTTGCTGATAAACCAATGAGCCTGCAATAAAAATGCATCTATGCCTTTAATCTAAAAGCTTAATGTGTCTTTAAGACAAGCAGAACTTTCTCTTCATTTAAGAAGCACTAAAAAAACAAAAGGAGAAAATCTTTGATTCCTCGGAAACATTTCTTGGCCTGATAATCTTATTTAAGGTTCTGGCACCCAATTAGACAACTGTGCATGTCTAACAGCATAAAGCTGAGGACAGTGGCATGGTAAATGCAACATAGGAGAATGTGCTGCAATTAAATGCATGATTAAAAGTTATTGGCCTTTTCTGTTGCTTGCAAACTTTGAAAGCACAAGGGCCACTTCCAGCTTCCACAATGAAGCCAAGGTGAGGCACAGCTCTCAAAAGAGCTCTGTGAAGCATGTCCAGTGCAATGATTTCAATTTCACCATGAATAGCCTCCTCTTACCCCTGACAATACAGTTTCTATTTAAGTGGAATACACAGAAGGCTAAGAGATGAAAGAATAAGGAGTGACTTTATATTTCAGAAACACACACATGTTGCAGTTTTATTCTTTCTCTCCCTTGCAGCAGAACAATAGCGGCTGACAGAATGAAAAGCTCCTGCCCCAGCCTGAGCAACAAGTCCCCCGGTGGCTGGGAAGTGGGGCAGGAGCAGCTCTGTGTTCTCAGGGAGAGGGGCTGCTTTACTTGGGCCTTCCACCCCCTGCTGATGCGCTGCACACGGGTGCGTTGCAGAAAGTGAGATTCTGAAGCAAGAAAGGATTGAATGGAGCTGAAAGCTGACAAACAGGGAGACAGTACAGGCAAGAAATAAAAGCTACAGTATGTGGTATGGGGAGCAATTTAAAAATTCTTATTATACAACATACAGTATAGCACATGAAGAAAAACAGAGAGAGCGATGAAAAAACGTTGTTAACCAGACAGAATCACAGGGAAACGGAGTGTTTAAAGCAGATTGAGCCATGAATATGTGGAGCAGCTGTTGGCTTGCAGTGTGAGTGATGAGCGGGTTTCACATAAAGACCAGGTAACAAGTGATGACAAAGGCTCTTAAAGAGATGGACTGGTGAGCAAGGACTGCACACAAATGAACTGAAGGGCTTGCACTGAATGACTGGGATGGTGCCTTGGTTATGAAGTCAGAGCAGACCCAGACAGTGTGAAGGCTGGACAAATGTACTGATTTGGTCTGTATCTAGAATAAATTGCGCCCACTGTTAGGATGCCAGCAACCTTAATGATAGCGACTATTCTTTCAAAAACTTGGGAAGAGACAGGTAAATGTGTGGGCGGCAGGGAAAATGACATCCATTTATTACTTAAATAGCTTCTGTTTTAAAAGCCCTCTTAGCTAAAGACGCAATACCATATTTCAGTGGTAGTTTTTATCAAATTTAATAAGCACAAAAGCAAACTACCCCTTTGTCTCTAGGCAGCACTAAGCATTCAAAATTGGGTTAAGTAGGAAATCACTATCGTTTTCTGTGCTAGGTGTGTCGGGCTTTTGGCTGAAAAGAGATGTTTATGTAAAGGCCAGAAATGAAATCTAATCCATCTTTTTAATAACACAATTCCCTGGAAGTGGCTGCAACAGAGTATTCCTTAACTATCAGCCTGTCTAAATGCCTGTGTATTAAAAAGTAAAGTGCTATTTTATTAAATTAAATAATGTCATATTTCTGAAAAAGCTCACTATGAAAAGTATCATATTTGTGATTAGAAGTCAAAAGAATTTCACTTCACTGAATTAGCAGATTCTTCCTCCTTAGTAACAGTCATATCTCAAGCACTGACCTTTCCAAACTGAAGGACAGCACAAATGTTGCTATTCTTCAGGACCTCACTGAAAATTAGTCTTTTACCCCTAGGCCTAGATTCAATTAACATTTTAGCTAGGGAAAAGAGAACTTTTACATTCTTTCAATAATCTTATAAAATTTTTAGCAAGACTAATCTATTCTGAACAAACAGAATTCAGATGTATTCAATTATGAATGAACTATGTCCATAACATAACACTGAAACTGTTACTTCTGCCAAATGTTCCGTCACTTTTACTTAATTTAAAAGCAGTTGCTAATATTTTTAATAATACCTACAATTCAAACATGTTTCTAATTAGATGTTCGAATACTCAGAGGATATTAATTCCTTTTCCTGTTGCTATGAACAAGCTATGAGCTTTAATGAGGCAGAACAGATCCTCCATGAAACACCATAAAAGCTGTTATTTTTCAAGGGGTTATAACAGTTCTCATTGGAAAAGTAAACTAACACACTTTTCTAGCTTTGACTCTCCAGCAATGTAGCTGTTTACAAGCCTAAAAATGAGTAGCAATGTGGGAGTTCAATTTTGGTAGTAGCAGTGGCTATTTTAGACAGACTACAAATTGAGAGGAGAAGCTGTTTCATTGTTTTAGGAAAAGGGCAGCCTGGACAACAATTTTAATATGCATGGCATTTCCTATAAAGCATTCACAGAAAGTCGCCTGCTAACTTTAAAGAGCAGCGCTCATTCGTTGGAGGCACTCATTCGTTCCCCAGCGGGTGGTGGAGCAGAGTGCTTGGACGTGCAGACCCGGGCAGGGCCCCAGGGACTCCTGTCTCGTTACCTGCGTCTGCAGCGCGAGGATCCGTGCCTCCAGCTCTTTGATTTTCTCCTCCTGCTTCTGGAGCTCAGCCTGGGCCTCCTGTCGGGCTGTGAACTCTTCATCAAACTGCAACGATCACCACAGCAAACACACTCATCCATCTCCACACTACACTAAAGCATCATGAGAAGGCTTTAAACAACACGACAGATCACGCCGGATGATCAAAAGCTGATACTTTTCTTTGCTCTTTTTTTACCTTCTTTCATCCACCTGTCCATTTGTTTACTGGCTCCCTTATGATTTTCATCCAGTGTGATGGCCCTAACCTTTCTGGAAAGTGACCTGTGTCAGGATAATGTTTTCACTGACACCATGGGGATCCCTCCTCCATCAACGTGCTTAGGGGACACCTGAAATATTCTCTGACATTTGCCACTGAGGATGAGAGGGATTCTTTCTGCTTTCATCAGACAGCTGACACCAGCACACTTCCCTTTCCTTGCTAGAGTGAGAGTCACTCCCATGGTGATCAGGGCTGTACACTGAACAGCACCAGGAGTTTAACACCTGCACACTCAGAGGAAAAAAAAAACAAAACAACGAAAGACATGCATGTAAAATGCATTATGATTCCACTTCTAGCAAGTTCATTATTTTTAGTTTTGTTGTGTATGTTTTTGTATATCCGCTGTGGCCAGAGGCTATTTAGTTTTTGTAAAGTTATTGCCTATATGTTTTAAATTCGATTCTTTGTGTTTTGTGTCTTGAAAATAAAATTGCATTAGTTCCAGAAAACGTGCATGAAATTAAAACTGCTAAAAAAAACCAAACAAACACTAATAGCGTTTCAAAAAGGGAAGACCGCGCCTGTTAACTGTGTTTGAAGAACTCTTTGCAGAAGAACTGGCAGGAGAGGCCCGCAAGAGTGCATCACTACTTGCTGACCAGATTAGTCTAATGAAGTGCCAGAAGATTCTAGAGCTGTAGATTTTCTTCCAGGGTGTAAGTCTCAGGGAAAGGGAATATACATTAACTTTAGATTACATGTACACTCACCCTGTAACACAGTCGGCAACAGAAAAAGTCATTCAATTGCATTACTGACAATATCAATATTAACACCCCTGGACTTAAAAAATATATTTCCTTCCAAGTTTCACAAACTGGAATTCTCAAGGGAAAGGAAAATGTACAATTTCCCAATACACAACACCAAGACTTCTATATTTACTTAAGGGAGAAAGTCAGTCCCGTAATTCCTACCAATCCATGTTAATAGGGCTGTGGCTTTCCCTTAATGTAACAGGGTCCTTTTGTGGACTGTGCTCAGAGGATCAGGAGCCCTGGAGCTTGGGCGAAAACATTTTGAAAGGGTGTCTCTACATATTCTAACTCTAACTCTGCGAGGCACAAATAACTACATAAATGGACTTGGTACATCAATATTGATCCATGTAATGCTGATACAGATCATGTCCTTATGCTGCCAGTTATTGATCAAAGCAGGGAGATCAATAACCTGTCTCTGAGCTAAGGAAAAAAGCTTTTCGATACGAGAGGTACTGGTGGAATACCAATCGTATCAGAGTATAATTCATAGTTTACCTTTTTGGATAGCTCGGCAGCCTTCTGTTCACTTTCATCAACTTTAGCTTTATCCACACACTGATCTGTCAAAACATTGGGTTTACAGAAATGAGCAACATGGAAATGAGAGTGATCAGTAATTTACATTACAACCATTAATGCTTCATTTTATATTTCCTACTCAAACTCATTTTTCACTTCAGCTTGTAGTACACAGAAACAACCAAAAAGGCAGCGATCACAACAAGCATGTTTGTTTAGGTGTTGCAGCATGCCTTCAGTCGGCTGGTCGTTGTGTGAACTGTCACATGGCTGATTTACTGTATAACTCAAAAAGAACAACATGCAAACAAAGATCAAAAGTGGGTTATGTGTTATGTTAAATGTGCTAAGAAGAGACTTAGAGCCTTGAGGGCACAATACGTCTTTGAGTCTATCGTCTCTCTGTCTACATATCTACTGTATGTCTATATATCTCTCTGCCAGTCTATTTGTTTATCTCTCTCTACCTGTTTATCTACAATATCTATTCATATACCTCTGTCAATATATCATTGTAACTGACTGTATTTCTGTATCTCCGAAGTGCATCCATTCCTACTTCCCAGATCCGGGGATTGATTGCAATGAACCCAGACCATGAGAAAGGTAAATGCAGAAACACAGAAGATCTAAAACATGTGCTGATGATGACACACAATTCACTGCCACTGTATGTCCAGAAGAAGCAGGTGCCAATACCTATATTGACTAAAACTATAAGGCAGGAAGAGCTGAAGCAGGAAAACGACTCATTCATTCATTCATTCATCCAGCCATAACAGAGAGACCAGGAGGCATACAGGAGCTGTGTAAACTCACCCCCACTGCTCTGTCACTACCTGGGCCGCAAGGGTTCACAAAGTGCACTTCACACTATGTGTTGATTAATGTTTTCCTGCTGCTCTTGAATCTCTCTCTAAAGGTGACGAATTAGTGTTTGATTTAATTATTTATTTTTAACAACGTCCTTCGGGGGCTCAGATTGATACAAGCAAAGCTATTCCATTACCAAGCCACACAGCCAGAGGTCAAAAGTCAGGAGGGCTAGAAAATGAATCTCCTGTGGCACAGAGTCTGTTGTGCTGCATTCATTAACCTTGGCACAGACCTGGGAGAGGCCCCCTGCACTTACTCCTACCTAACAGGAATAGAAAATCAATTTTTAACACTCGAAAATAATCTGAGAATTGCACTCAAATTTGAATGCAGTGGCAACTATTGAGATTGCCTGTAAGATGTGACAAAGTAAGCGCTTTGGGTGGGGTGACTACCATTCCCATTGCAATCAATTATACTCTTTAATGCAAAAATAAAAACAAAAAAAGTGGCCCTCCTCACATTCTTCAGCGTTCTAACTTTTATTAGCACTACCAGATAAACCAGACAGGCGGCTTGAGAAGACGAGGAACTTTGGATTTTTTACTTGTCTTCTAAGTAATGAACCTGTCAGTACCGGCGCTATGCCCTGTTTCAGGAATATACTGAGGGCAGGGTAAATTAATAAGCGGTGTGTTGCACTTGATCCCTGATGGAAACTGGTACTTCTTCTATCCAGGATAATGTATTTTCCTGATGGTGGGCAACAGAGGTCTTTAGAAAATATTAGGTCACTTTCCAGCTTGCAGCTATCGGGGCTCGACAAACCTGAATCAAGCTGAGTGAGTGCAGGACTCCGTGTGTACGAAACCCTGCTGGGGGGGTGGGAGAGGGGGCTGGCTTGGAATGAGTGGAAGAGAAACCACTGCCAAGCCTTACTCACAGTAGCACAGCTACAGCTGCTGTCTCGGCCGGGTGGGGGGGAAACAGAGCAAATTAAATAACTAAATTCCTGAATAAACACACAAGTGCAGACACACACATGAGTGTTCACATATACTGTATATGGCTTTCCTAACAAAAACTGAGGATTCTTCTTAAAAATGTGGAATTAGCAATCAGCCCACTTGGTTACCTACCTGCATTACCTTGGTTACCTAAATTAGCTGAAATAAACTGTGTTTAGTTTCGCAGAAAATACAGATAAATTCTTTGCCGTCTACAGTATACTAATCCTGACACACAAAAGATTTTAAGCCTGTAGAGCAAAATAATGAATGAATTCAATAGAGTGGGTTCATCTTATTTAACTTCAAAACGGTGTCAAGGATTTGAGATGTGTCAGCCAAGGACATCGCTGTTTACTGGAGAATATACACATTTATGAAGTCCATAATCTATGCATTGGTATTGATACATTATCATTTTAAATTGAATTGTTGTAAATATCAAGCAGCATACATTCTAAACTTTAAGACATTACCTTGACAGATGTGAACATTTTAAATAATGCCATATTATCAGGGTATTTAGCCTAAAGAGATAGAAAAGGCTGCTCTGTGGTGGTCATGTCCACAGACAATGTGACAATAAACATTTTTGGTCTGTAATATCACATCCTGATAAAGCAGACATTGATAAAGAGATTGACAAGCCTGACAATCTGCAGTTGAATCAGCCAAAAACCTCTGTTGCCACTATCTGCCCAGGTCCAGCTATCTGGGCCTACAGTAGGTGAACCTGAGGTTCCTCAGGAGACCAGGTGAAATGTTTGTGCTCATTAAGCTCCCCAAGTGGCTTAATGGCACTCAACAAAACAGAACATCATTTTCAAATATTTGGAATTGAGAAACACAAAATAAGACATTACACATTTCTGTGGAGGTTGAAGCCAATAGCCTGGTTTCTTTCAAGAAAAAGCTATACTGTATGCCTTCATCACTGGATCAATTAACGACTGTACTAACGACTGAATGGTCTAGATGTCCTGCATGGCCTCTTGAATGCAGCCAACGTACCGATAAGGTGTGTGAAGTCCACATCCAGCCTCTCACGGTGCGCAAAGTCTGGATCTGTCCCACTCCTGTGCAGCACTATCTGAGACACACATTCTTCAATGACCCTGTAGTACTGAGGCCTGCAAAACAGGGTTTGCAGTTAAAGAATCTAGCATTAAAAACAACACGTTAGGAGTGGCTAATGACACCATAGACATCACAATATCTGATGGGCACATTTGAAAATAGGGACACTGTCAATTAAGTACTGTATGTATTTCACCAGTAATTTTGTATCTTTTTTAAGTTTTTTTTTATTTCCCCCTGGGGCGAAATGGCAAAAATCTTAGGCACTGGTAAGGCATTGGTTTATTCAGTTTCAGAGCTCCAAGGTTATACTCCTAAACTGATGGAGGCATCAAAGCTAAACCTGGCATTCCAGGAATTGTTTGCAATTAACTTCTGCAATTAAGAATGATAAATCTTGGAACACAAATCAAATTAAAGTAATTAGCCTAATTAAACTCACAATAAAACGAAGAAACTTGCAACCTCTGTGTTTGGATGTTAGAAGCCTAGCCCACAATAGCAGTTTAAATCATTCTGCCTTTTACTTTACCTTTAATTGAACTGCATAGGTTGATATGACCTTTTCTAAGTTATATTATCAACTTTAATTGCAACTGACATTTACCAAATACAATGTCAACTTAAGCTCTGCTGTGTCAAATAATTATGTTCCAAGCATAACCTTGAATGGTTCAAACAGATATGCAATTTCTAACTGGAATTTCTTTTTACAGCATAAACGTATGGTGCATTTTAATGGGTGCAATCTGGGGGAATTGCCTCCCAATACACAATACATCCAGAGCTATGCAATAATTTACATGTGTAAGTACGCCGTGTAGGGGTCATCAACCTGGAGCTCGGCTGCAGATTTGAACCATTTACCATTTTCTGTGAAACAAAGAACTGATTTTTTAAAAGAAATCATCCCTTCCCCAGTTTCTGAATCATATGTAGAGCACGTGGTAGTCACAAAAAGAATGTCATTTCAGATCGGATCTCTGAAGTGAAGAAAAGCTGAGGGAATTTAGGGTGTAATTATTCAGCAGTGGAATGGACCATCAGCGGACCGACTTGAGGTTGCGAGGATGACCTCTGCTGACTCGGCAGCACTGGGGTGTGGGCTCTGCTCTGGTCAGGGCTTATTTCTTCCATCTGTACTGGTATTGCTGCAGAAGGGGAAGGGTGCTGTCGGTAGTTCGGGTCAGGGCAGGTAGTGTTCCTAACCCCGCGAGCGTGCCAGCACACTTCTGAGAACTAATGAATAAATAAAGAACAACACAAGAATGCAAAGCAGCAATCTTGCATTGCACAGAAAATTAAGGAATTAATAGTGAACCCAAGTAAAGTCTCCGATGCTTCCACACACATTAAATGGATTGTATAATTAAAACCTCTGGGTCACTTACAGAGCAATTTTGCACTACTTAAAGCTTATTTCTTTAACGAGCAGGCACTACCCTGGGGATGGATATCTTCATACATAAGACTGCAGCTGGGGGCTGTGTTCATTGCTATACTTTAGTTTGGATTATTTGGTACAGATCAGCCATTCTAAAGCTGGTGATGCAAAGCCACTTGACCACAAGCTTCTGGATACTTTTGACCTTGTCATTAACTGCACTGCTTTACTAATAGGGCACAAACTCATCTCAAAGATTCCAGAAGGAAATCGAGGGAGGCCCTAATCAGGGAATGTACAATCTAAACCCCTTGCCACTAAATCCACGGGCAGCTCCACCCTCTGTTTTTTCTAACAGAACTTGTGCTCATCCTAGCTGAAGCACGGTCTACGCAGCTTGACTGGTCATTTCCAACGCTGAACTCGGGAAATAGCAGAATGGAAAGGAGAACGTGCTTTGTTTCCAGGCACTCGGAAGAAAGAAAAAAAAAGTGAGATCTGCTATTAACTTGCTTGTTTCAAAATCACCCATGGAATAGAAGGCAGCCTGGAGTAAACACAGCAGATTCATTTTTTACAGCAACAACAAGCAAACAAAAGAAAGACTTTCAAAGTGTAATTATTTATGTGATATTTCCTAATAGTGTAAATATCCTAATTAAAAACAAAAATTAATTAATCGCTCAAGTGACTCTCTTCTCTTTCCTTAGGATTGCTCCTACAGCAATGCAATAATTGGCTCATAAGCTCTAAGCCTGACATTATCAGGATTGGTTTGTAGAAAACATTTCATATAAAGTCAACACCAAGTGTTAATATAATGCATAAATTCAAAGCATATCATGTTTTAAACCACTTTTTTAATTTACCCTAATTAAGTACACAGTGCACTACTTCCAATCATTTATATGAAATAAAAGATCATTTTTTGGATTACTGTTTTCAGGGTGTGTGTGTATGGGGGGTTATTTGGTTTCAGAATAAATTAAAGTGATGTTTAATGAGGCACATTTAATGAATGCATCACACTAGAGATAAAATTTAATTTGCATCTTCCCTTAATAGAACAATAAGACGCTGTATATAAATAAGCAAATACTGTGTATTTTATTTTCCAGTATGTCCACGGATTTGCCTCCTGGAAATGTCCAGGCTTTGATTGTTGCAATGCCTGGTTTTATGGCAAAGCACACAGCTTATGACTGTCACTGAAGTATACCAAATTAATATCTCAATAAGCTGTCCTATTTTCAGAACATGCCCACAGCTGTCTGGAGATAACTGTAAGGAACTGTTTGACCCAAAACTGTCAGGTCCCACCAGAAAGCCATAAACCCATAGCACAGCATATGTCTGCACACAGCTCCTTCAATTCGTCTGACACCTTCTCTCCAGCGTTCATTTAATTTATGTGTGTCACTTTTTTATTGAACACAAATAAGAGGGGCAGTACAGAGAATACCTGATCCTAACATCAATCATAATTTGCTCTCTTGCCATTTTAATGAAAGAAAAAATAAAGAAATACAAGATTACAATATGAATGCAACATTAAGACAAGGACTATAAAATGATGACAGCAGCATTTATAAAATATCAGAGAATGTTGATCTCCATAAAGTTAATGAATGCAACTGGTTATCAAAGTTTAACCAGGCTCAAACTATAAAAGAGGGGGGCGGAGCGGTGGCTCTGTGGCTCAGGATCTGCGCTGGAAGGCTGCCAGTTCAAATCCCACGGCCGGCAGAGGAATCCTACTCCATTGGACCCCTGAGCAAGGCCCTTCACCCCAACTGCTCCAGGGGTGCCGTATAAACGGCTGACCCTGCGCTCTGACCCCCAGCTTCTCTCTCACAGTCTGTGTGTCCCATAGAGAGCAAGCTGGGGTATGCAAAAAGACAAATTCCAAATGCAAGAAATTGTATAGGGCTAATAAAGTGATGTTATGTTTGTTGTTGTTCTGTTAATTCTTCCAGCATTAATTTGGATGAAAACTTGTGCTTACAGTTTGGCAGACCATGGGGTTAAAAATTGCAGAACACTACCTTTCAAATGAATTAGCATTGTATTTTTATTCTGGGAATGACATAACCTTTTTTGGTTTTCTTTAATAAGAATTATTAAATTATCATTATGAATAATGCCAGTGCCTGATTTAATGTCTTGGGTTTTGTAACCTTATTTAACAATCAACCAATTACATTAAGATTCTTAAGATCAGTAAGAAATTAATTCAATACTGTCAGCCAAGTTACTGAAGTAACTTCATTGTAACTGTCAAGAACTTACATAAATTATTTATACAAAAACTTGTGTATCCAGCTTATGGGTTAGAAATGTACAGTGTAGGAAAGTCTCAGTCTCTGCATACACAGCTTGCTGAAGAATAACATTTATTTCAAAATCTTCATTCCAGAGGTGATGCAGGGTAATATTGGTAACTGGGATTATTGTGTGTTAAAAACAGTGTTAGATTTTATTTTGTTCAAAGGCTGAAATTAACCACTGGGATTAAAAAATACATATATACACATGCACAACACCAGTGTTTCAGCAGACTAAAAAAAAATCAAAATAATACATCAAACATGCACTTATGTTCAAAGGATTTAAAGGGGCAATGGAAAAGAATTGCAGCGCTGCAGAGGCAGGGCTGATGCGGACAAAAACACCAAGGTGGGAAGATCACACCTTGACAAGTGACCAGTGCATCAAAAGCATGGCTGCCTTGGATCAGACTTCAGTGAAAATGTGTTTTTAAAGCACATCTTTAATACGGATGTGTGTTTTTAATGAGTGCTGGTAGTAATCTTTTTCAATGTCACAGGGACCGTGCATCTCTAGCCGCGCCAGACAGGAATGCTGATAAAGAATTTGCTGTACTAGCTGGTTAATGTATTTTCTATTTCTCTGCTTCTCCAACAAGCTGGGAATACATTATTCATAACTCAAAGTGTGGAGGAGCTTGTCTGCAGTAAACTTTTTCTTCTTCTTCTCCTCCTCTCTCTTTTTTAAATATTTTATTTCCGCGAAAGGACCGACGCAGCAGCAAATTGATCACTGTCAGCGCGGGAAGGGAGCAGACGCGTCTACCGTGCCGCCCTCCTGTTGCGCTTTTCAAGGCCGGCCTCTGCCATCTTTATTCTTTTTCTGTATGGTAGAGTCACATTTCACATCCCTGCGACAATGCAGGGTGCTGGGAAAAATCAAGCAAGCATTCAAAACCATCCATTCTTTGTTTTTGCTAACCCATAACATGGTTAACATACCTCACTGCCACAGGTTTTAAAAGGGGGAGGGGTCAAGGCCAAGCCCCGCCCCACTTTCAAACCAATCAGAAGCTGCAGGAGAATGGGATCCTTATGAAAACGTTGTGCTTACCTGATGTAATAGTCATTCCTGATGAGTAGAAGGTGCTGAAGCATGGAGAGAAGATAGTTTTCTGCTGCGGTGTCTTTCACCATGTTAGACAACAGATGGTAGACCTCATTCATGTCGGTGCAGAGCGGGTTAAGGAAAAAAAATAAGATTTCATTGTGCTGTCCTTTTTTTTTTTTTTACTTTTTTTTTCTTAGCAAACAAACAAAAAGGGAAAAGAAAGTAAATTCCGTGAAGTACATTAGTTTGATCCTGTTATCAAGAGTGAGCATGCATCCATAAGCCCTATCACAAATTTGAAAAGCACCAATAAGCAAACACAAAGGCCACCGCCAAAAAGAAAAATATGAAGAGTGCAAATCCCCTTAACCTTGTCGGCACGAGCCAAAACGCAAGGTGAATCTCATCTTGCCTTTGCCTGGAAATAAAAATGCACATGCATTTCATCTCCTCATCAGGCAGTGTTTACAAAGTCTTTTTTTGCTGGCTCTTCCCTACCACGAACCCGGGATGTTACAGGGACACTACATTAGTCATTCCTGGAAGACAGACAAATGTTTCAATGGTGAAAGAAGAAAGCAAGATACGTTTGACACAGATCTGGTTTTCCATCACTGTCAATTTTTTTTAGAGCGTTAATTTAATTTTAATTTTAGATTAAATTCTATTACCCTTTCTTGTCTGAACACGTCTGTAAAAGACGAATGAATGTAAATGACAATGACGTATGAGAATGTCTATTTTTTCCTTAAATTATTAATGACATTTATATCAATATATGCAAGTGACAGAAGTACATCGATTTTCAGCCACAATTCTGTTTTCTCAGGAAAATATAATTTCTGTTATCCATGCATTGACACATTGTGGCTGTGCTGTGTTTTTTTGGAATTCATGTGATAAATATAATAATCTAGTGACCATATACAGTATATAATAAAGGATGTGATATGAAGCTATTTTATACCTTATGTGAAATAAGGCTATGGGTTTTCATTCTGTATTTATAGAACAGAATATGAAGCACACCATTTGTCTCTTTATTAACACACCCTACATCCTTTCTGGCACCATCGAGAGCAAGAACCAAAAGTAGAACACACTGACTGAAACATGGCCGCCTCTCTCTGTCTGAGGGATGATGGACACAACCCTGCCAGGGTCAGCAAGCACCTGGGATCCCAGCACGGGGCAGTCTGAGCCTCACCAGGTGACCCCACTGCACCCAGAAACTGCACAACCCCCATCTGCAAGGGACAGACCTGATCTAGCAACCCCCAGGCCCCCGAGATGGGCCCCTTCGGTCTGAGGTTCATCGGGGGATAGGACAGGAGCGCCACCACATTTTTCTGTTTCTGTGCTGTTTACTTGAAAGCCTCCTTTGAACCCCGACAAAGGGAGCATGGCCACCTTCCCCCGGGAGCTCAGAACAGATTGCTGTGTGAGCTTTGCTCCATTGACCTTCTGGCATTATTACACGATTATGTGAGGGCTTTGCATTATTTTGTACAGTGTGATTTGGCAGCACTTACAATGAATTTTAAACTCACTCTAAGGCTGTGACTCAGTAATCCGTCTATATTTTTGCCCTTTTTTTTCCCTCGATCAATTATTCAGACAGGTCTCTTCATGCATAACCAAAAGTTGTAATGATTTTTAACTGCTGTTTTCCCATTAGGGATCTTGTGTCTTAAGAAGAGTAAACACAGAGTGAAAAAAATTGGGAGTAAATATGGTCCCTCAAGTCTACCTGTCAGGCTGAGTCTTAAATGGATCTTGAAATTAATCAAATGAAAACTCCATAGGTTTGAATATTTAAACCCAAAATCATGAAAAATGTATTAGTCAATTGAAAATATTGCAAAAATCCAGTCTTCAGATTTTCCTGTCACTTGTCCTTAGAACAGAAATGATATGTTCTTAAACTTGCTAGGCATATTGATTTTATGTCACATAAAACTCCCTTGAGGACAAAGGCAATGTTTTTGATGTCTAAAATAGATGTTGTATCAGACAGAAATCATATTATTTTTCTTTTTAAGCTGCGTTTTTAACTAATTATGTCCTATGTTTCAATGTCCAAGAGATACAATTGCCAGCAAATGATCACAAATTGTCAAAGGACAATTTCAATTCAGACTTTACACAGCACATTCACCACACGAAACAGAAACATGTTGTTTTTGTACTAGTGCATGTCACTAGGCTAACAACCACACCATACAAATAACATTTTATAAAATATTCACATATAAAAAATATAAAAATATTCCTCTACTTCACACAGAATATTAAAAGCAGATTTTACTTTGCACTGAGGTACAGTATTATCTTCACATCTGTGTGAACTTACAGGGAATGGAAAATGCTTCTGGCACTACCAAGAACCTAAACAATAAATGAGGATATTAAAAGTAGAAGTATAATATCTATATTATTTTGATTAAGTCCATGCATTTCACGTGGTTATTTGTCATACATAAAAAAATATAAAAGCTGTGCACACACAGAGCAAACTGGGAAAAAAAGTGCTGCATACAGCAGTCTGATGAAAAATTGATTGCCGTCATGATATTTAGTGTGTGTTTTGACAATGTCTGATGAAAGATTTACAAGGTGACAGCAGGGTGATACATTACTGAAGCTGCATTGCTTTCACAGTTCACGGCTTTGCATTCATTTTCAGCTCTTTCTGGCCAACCTGCTGTAAATATAGAAGTTTGGCACAGTATCCCTGTTAGTCCAATAAGCTCATATGATCCCACATTTTCACCCTTTTTTCAAAGAAAAGATCAATTAAAAAAAAGATTAATAAAAATCAGGTCTGCTCATCTCACTGAGTGTTGTAGACCGTAATGTCTCTTTCTTTGAAATAAGATAGACGTTATTAATTTTGATTCCTTTTACCTGTAGGATTTAGTTTTTCTGTGTTTCTGATTGCTTATGTCTAACTTGAAGTACGCCATGTGTTGTTAGCATCAGCTATGATGCATATATTAAATTAATATTAAATTGGTATAACAACGATAACCTGTCCAAGCAAAGGAATGTAATGCCAAACCTACAACATTATCAGATTAGCTGTCCTTAACCACTGCAGTTTAGAACAGCTGCTGCCAGTATTTCATATTTTATTTATACAGTATTTCACATAAGCAACAGGACTGTGGTAGTACAGCAGCAGAGATTAGGCAGAAAATGACACTCTCTTGGCCTTACAGAAGCTTAAGACAAAGAGCAGGACTGTCTTCATCTGCTCAGGGGTGGAACGTGGATTTAGATGAAAGGACTAGTAATCTTCCTGTAATGATGAACAGAGGGCTTTCAGAATAGACAACTGTCTCAATAGATCGATAGACAGACTGTAATAAGTCTATTGTATGTTCACTACTTCGAAACTGTCATTTCTGCTTAATACGCCATCATTATTGTCATCATACCGGTATGAACTTCTCCCTCCTCCAAAAAAAGAACCACTTCATTATTAAATGATTAGCACTTGGATATGACTCCCTTGCTTCCATTACTAGAAATACATCCCCTTTAATATGAGCATGGACACTTGACTGTCTCCCATCAACTTATGTCACCCATGATATTAAAAGATTTCCTTTGCATCAACTTCTATAAGAGAGAAAAATAAATTGTGCATTCCTGAATAAACGTCTACTGAACAGATGAAGGGAACAAATATTATTAACCTATTAGTCAATGTGATTTATGGTTAATAAAATAGACACATGACAAATAAATGATCATTAAACTGTTATAACACGTCTTGCAATAAATGCAATTAATCTACACTTCTGGTCAATCACATTAAGCCTACCATAATTAAAAGTCACAGAAAGGAAATTCCCACTGTTGGCCTGATTTTGTTTAATGTTAATGAATCAAGAACTGAAATGAATTCCGAGTCAAAGCAGCTCACGAAATTGTGGCAAAAATTTGTATTATATTATTATATTATGTTACTCAACTGAACATTAGGAGCAATACAATTTAGTATTCACTTGTGCAGATACAAAGTGTGGCAGGGCTTGCAACAGGACGTTGCCTGACCAATTGTGGCGAGGCCTAAAACAGGAAGTCACATGACCATGTGTGACGAGGTCTGCGGTGGGAAGTCACATGACCAAATGAAGCAAGGCCTGTGACAGGAAGTCACCGGACAGGAAGTGGTGTCTCATGCACTCCAGATAGCACAATTAATAATGGCAGAATGTGAATGAAGAGATACAGTAGGCTCCAGTTTTTGGCATTTCACAACTAACATTTTCAAGTTCATAGGCATGAATAAACATTAAGAAAGGTAGTGAAAGTAGAATAGCAGGACTAGATGAGTGAGTCAGGGGTAAACTTAAGGTCAATCAATGTCATGGATTGGCACTATCTATTAATATTCATCAGCAGGGAAGAGTCGTCTCGTATGAGCCAAGGTCTGGACTGGGTTGAGAGCACTGTACTTTCAATCTGTTAATATTCATGAAGCGGCTCCTCGCAGCTTTAAAAGCAAGACAAGTCAAGACGGAGAAACACAGTAGAAGGAAATATGTATTCAAAAGACCTGCACAAAGAAAGGCAAAGCATGTACATCAGGTACTAATCAATAAGAGTCCTTCCTGGAAACAAACAGCTACAGTGTCATCAGGGAATCTGCTCAAGCAAATAAGAGGCTAATCAAGACTTTTTTTCCACTACATCAAGTGTCATTCTGGAAGCTAGCTGCTATAACAAAGGTCATCACACAGTAACAGAAGACTTGTTGGATTGAGGATAGGGACATTAACATCTACAGAAAGACGCTTAAGTGTCTTTGTACAGATTTTTTTTCTGTTAATGTTGTAGGCATTTCCTCCTCACCAGGTGTTACTCTTGTTTCTACAGGAAACAGGAGGGCATTGTTATGCAGTCTTATAGTACACAATGCAAAAGCAAAATTAATGCAAATTACGATTACAAATGCACAAATTAATTTTGAGAAACAAAAGGTTAAAGTTCAGGTTTAAATATTCAATTTAAAATTCAGTCTAGGAACAAAAAGCATCATATTTCTGAAAACGAATTAATTAATATTAATATTAATATTAATGATATTTACATATTAAGGTCTGATTAATTACACCACTATGTTCATCATGGAGCTAGAATTAAACATAAAAAACTCTCAAACACTAAATGAAATTCATTGCAATATAAAATATTAAGAAGGAATTGTAAACCTGTGACTTCTGAAGACAGACTTAAAAAGAAGTCAGCCTGAAGTGTTTTCTATTGCAAGACATCAGCATCTTTTTTTCACGTTTCTCTCTGTTTTCTAATAACTGGAAATATAAGCTATAATGAATGTTAGGAACTGAATTTTATCTGCACTACATTTCTGGATATGTACAAAAAAGAGTTTTAATGAAGTTGATGTACTGTACAAAAACAAGCTTTCATTGATGTTAACTAGTCACGGAGATTGGGAAACATTGATCTCTTTAGGAATACAATGTTTTTTCAGAAAGTGAATGTATGTTTTAACGAAAAGTATTGAGTTCCCATGTTCTAAGGTGATTATAATTTTCTAGATATTTAGGACTTTAATGAGCTGAACTGATGAAAAGTGAGCAGTGAAAGGCAGCAAGGAGAGATAAGGTTTTTGTTAGTTGAAACCTGATGAGAGATGGGAATCTAATCACTCTCTAGGTACACAAATCCCCATTTAATGAGCCTGGGGTCCAAGGTTTAGGTCTGTAACTAGGTGATACCAATATAATACAATCATTATGAACAATTCTATTACTGATAAATTAAACAAGAGCTTTGCGATGTTGAACAAAGGATATTCCATTTCAGCTCGGATGTCATCGAGGCGGTGGGATAATTCAATTAAATCCTCATCCTTGTTTTCATTGAACACCTTCAACTGGATATCGAGCTCCTCTGTCTCTTTCAGCTCCTATATTTTTAATATAAAAATGAACAAAATATTAAGAAATCATAACATCTGAATAAAAATCTATATTTTTTTCAAACTCGACATTGGTTCCATCATTCTGAAACTGAAGTTTCACTAGGAAACTCAAAGCACAGCTGAAGCAAATTCTGAAACAATATGGTGTCATGCAGGAACGTGAAAGTTATATTCTTGACTAAATAATGAATCTCACAAGCTTTTCAACATAGTCCTTCTTCCATTTATTTCTGGAGGAAAAAATCACTAAAGCTTTTTCCTTGGTTATCAGGGGATTGTAGCAAAATTAGATCTGTATTTGGCTAAAATAAGCAAACACCTCTTTAATCAGTGTAAAGATTAATTCCTCCAGGACCTGCCCTAGCCTCTCCTCCTCATGCACACAAGTTTGGAAATGTAAACTTTACAGCTTTAATATTAATCATTTTAAATTAAATATACATGCTGTACAAAGCAAAATGTAACCAAGTTTCTCAAGATATCAATCACTGCTTCACACTAAAGGCACACCATCTGTCTTATAAAATGTCATTTAAGAGTCAAATGCTACATCTAATGCAAATGTTCAGAGGATTGTGCAATTTATAGGTTTCTGAAGCTGAGCAAAGATTAAATTAGCCTGAGTAAGTTATTCTCTGCACTCATATTTTTGCTTAGCTTTTTTATTTTTATTTTTCCGCTGTCATCTTTGAAAAAGGAGGTTCCATTATTATTCACATTCTAGGTCCAAAAGACAAACTAAATAAATAAAATAATAAATACGCTACATTTTCAAAAGGACAGAATGTTATTAAAGCACTTTAAAAACCAAAATACTTTCCAGAACCATGTGAAAAACAATTACCTCTGCATGAAACAAAAAAAATCACCCATGCATGACATCATGTAAAAAACAAATTCTGACCATAATAAAAAGAAAAACCTGTGTTCTTCTAATTAAGCTTAAAAATATCTGTGCCGTTTATAATGATGTGAGCTTGTGTCTTTCTCTTGTTTGAAGCTATTCTCTGAGAACTGTGATTACTGGTGCATGCCCCATGTTTCTGCTTAATGGTCTGCACGTGCCTGGGGAGTTTAAGGATAGAGACTAAATTCATTTAGAAACAACCGCAAATCAAACCTTTGGAGCAAACAAGGGCTATTAGGGTTTTGCAGATGCAGTAAGGACACCACAGTGCGATAATACGTCATCATTGTGTTTTCCCCTTTGTGTTAAGGTATAAAGAATTATAGTGATTTTTTACTTTCCTCCATTAGGACTCCAGATTTGTATAGGAGCAGTGGAAAAGCCCACTGGATTACAGCAGCCATCGGCACTCACCGGCAGGATCTTCTTCAGACCACAGCGCAGAAACTCATTTCGGAGGTGTATCCTGAAGTCCAGATCGTCAGGCGATGTGACCAGGGCGTTAATTAGCTGCATACATGCCACCTGTGAGGAGTTAATCAGACAATTTAAAGCCAGATCAACTACACCCTCCTTATAAAATCACCATACTGGACCAGAGCCTCGTGACATACAGGAAAGCTGTAAAAGCTCACAACCTTTCTCCTCACAGTAGCCTGCAAACTAGAATAGATGATTAATCTATTAGATTAAACTGATTCATTGTAGTGTAGAATTATAGCTGGGAATTCATTTGCAACTGTCTCTGTCATGTGTACATACTGTAATGTATATATAGAATACACATATTCAGTGACAGATGTATCCCTAATTGTTCTTATTGTTGAGGACTTTACACTTTCAATAAAAACACTGTACTGTATATTTATAGTCTCAAACCTCCTTATTTCAGAAGGACATGGACACCTTCTAATGGACCAAAGACTGAAACAGCCTCCTGTCCGCCCAGAAGTGGGGGTAGAGAAAAACAGAGAGCGGAGCAGTTCATTGAACAACAGTGCATTTTTAATTGATTGATCTGAAGGATGGCAAAGCACAGAAACAAGAGGAAAAGATGCTGATGTACATTAACTGGTCCTAAGTTGGCTCCAGGGATTGTTGTGGGACGACGGAGGACGTTAATTGCACAGAGAAATGTTCTGGAGGCAGAAGATCGATGGGGAGCTGAAGGATTCCTTGATTGACATTCGAAAAGTAGTCATTATTAATCTTCTCTGCCGGATTTGAGCATGCCAGTGTGTTTTATTAAGAGGCCACGGGAGATTGTGTCACCCTCCTTTTTCTGAATAGCCTCCAGCGTGTGTTTTTCCTTGATGTTTCACATTAACGCAGATCCGGATAAATGCCCTCAAACCCCGTTAGGAAGTGGTGCATGGCGGAATGGGTGCTTGTGGTGTCAGAGTGGTGGTGTGAACAAGCCAAGTCAATGCGCAACAGCCAGCGCGCAGGCAGGAGATTTACGGGAGCGAATAGCGGCCATCTGGCACGCCATGTTTTTTTTTTCCACTGTGCTAGAGGAACTGTGGGCTCAATGGCTTGTACTAATACAACTGAACAAGAGAACAGAGCGGCTTTTATGGGGCGCGTCAAACCGAATGGATGTGTGCTGAGGCAGATGCACCAGGACTGCGGGAACGAGACGGCTTCAAGAAGGGTGATGGTGGAAAGACAATTTAAAAGAAGGAGCCATATATCCGGCCGCGGAGAGACCTTCACTTGAGTAATGGATACGGACGAAGAAGCCTTCACTGTAACTTGTATATCAGGGTTCGGAAGACGGGTTAAACCCATGTTTAATAAATTAAGCCTCACTGGGCATTAGGACTAAAGCTTCACAATGCCCTGAAAATAAGGGCTGGAGGCGCTTGTTTTGCTGTAGTGCTCTAACAAAACAGTCTTCGCTAAGTTTACTTTGTCAAAGTCATTAGGGGTGATCAGAGCCCACAGGCAACTGCTTTGGAAGCTACAGTTAGTTTATATCTTTCTCCTTTCTTATGTCCTAATGTACAGCATATGATATAATTAAATGCAGACATACCTAGTCATTATTTTATTTTTATTTTATTTGTCTGAAGAAAAACAATTACACTCTGGCAAGAAGTGTGCTCATATACTGTAGCTAAATGTACAGCCCCGAGGAGGCTTTACCAGGCTAATTAAAAAAAACACTGCTGGGACGGTTTCAAGTTCTGATGCCACCTTCCTTATGATGGAAGAAACCTTAAATCACAGCAAAGCAGATTTTAATGGCATTAGCTAGGCGAGTTCCACAGCCAGATGCAGGTTGAAAGTGTTCAATTTCTTTGAACCCACTGCATCAGGAAGGTACTTTAATTTACTTCACAATTAGCTGAATTGGGTTCCATTACCTGCAGTTCTAAACAAAGAAAATGAAGCTTGGCCATTAAAGGGATTACGCTCACACCGTAAGCTCCCAAACACTTTCTGTCAGACAACTGCATGATTTACCTTGCACTTAATAAATAACTTAATGAAAATCTCTGTTCTCTTTAAAAGAGAAAAAAATACATATTGAACTTGTAATTAAATGTTTTGTTCGGTCTGTGTTAGGCGTACGTGCCATAATGAAAGACATCTGGCTGGGAGAGCCATAGCAGACATGGTCTAAAATCCCTGGAGTCCGAGTGGTGATGTAGGTGGGGGCACTGCTCCTTTTGGGAGAAACTATGGCTGTGAGAAACTCATACAGAAGCTGGAAAAAGCTGAAGAAAAAGCAAAAATGACAAACAGAAGAGTAAACTTTGAAAGCAGTCATGATGTCTGCTATTCTTCAACTCCAGATTTGAACATCTAATCCATATTTAAAGTAACTTTCTGTATCTTAACACTTTTCTCAATTGTAAACAGTTGCTACAGTAGCAACCGGCACTGTTTATCAGATTTCAGAGGGGTCAGGACAGTATACAGAGTGAAGGCATGAACAAAGGGGGTTCATTCTCTATACTGGGGTACGACGACACTGTATGTGGGGTCTTCATTCCACTTCTCTGTCTTACCCGATTTTTTACCTGCCAGGACAAAACAACTTCAAGGCATGCAACAGGTTAAAGGCGAACTTACAGTGCTTCTGCTTTAGAAGACCTGAGAATGGGAATTGTGTGTGAGCGATTTAGGTAAGAAACAGAGCAGTACTGTATGTCTCACATGATGTAAGGATCAGGAAGCCTCAGATTTCTGTGATCGACCTGCACTTGCGAGTGGCTGCACTGTCAAATTGCCTCATCCTCCCAGTCACATCTAACCTCAGAGTGAAGATGTATTCGTATCCCGTTCAGACACGGCACTGCGGCTTTCTGCCCAAACAGGCATGACAACAGACAGCGGGGTTCGTAATGCGCAGTCAAGAGACATACAGTATATCGTGATATCGGAGCCAGACATTCCCAGGACATCCACAATAAAATAAAACAAATAAAGTAATTAAGCAAATGCCCCAAAACAGAAGATTACATTTCCAAAACAAAAAAAAAATAAACACATAAAAGACTAAGGCCTGGACTGGTTATGGACTGACAAGCCCAGCGCCTGAAGGGCTGTTTTCTTTGCCAGAGGTCTCTTCCCTCCAGTGGAAGTCCACCCACCAGGTAGAGGGTTTGGAACTGGTGGATGGGTTAAACTGATTTTTGGAACCTGATTTCAACAGTTACTTTCTCCATGGGGAGGAAAAGTCCCACTTCTCCTTTCTCATCTAATTGAGCCACAGAAGCAGAGCTCAGGAGCTCCTCCACCCACCTGCAGCTGAGCGGCTTCGTGGTTCTCCAGTCCTTCCACGATGGACGCAAATCTCTCCTTGTTATTCCGCTCAGCTGCTATGGTCATAGCTGCAAGGATCTTATCCAGGCTGTAGGTAAAGAAACAAAAAACACACACACAATAACAGCAAACATGTCTTTATCAGCGAGTGGATGGGACATTGACTTCACCTTTCAAACCCACCCAGTAGAGACCTTCCCAGAACTTCCATTTGCGGCCTTTGTTTTCCTTTTTCATGTCGCGCCCCATATCTCTCCTTGTATTTGCTGATCCGTGCATACGGTTCGGCATTCGGGAGCTGTTTCAATCACAAATTCCTCTGGAACCCTATTCAAGGCACACAGCTGCTAAAGGTGATCCTACAAAGTACTAAATAAAGGGCCTGAATACTCATGTAAATGGGAGATTTTAGTTTTTTTATTTTTAATACATTTGCAAAAATTCCTGAAAATGTGTTTTCACTTTGTCATTATGGGGTACCATGTGTCGATTGATGGCAAAAAAGAATCAATTCAATCCATTTTGAAATAAGTGTCTTAGGTTCTACAACACAACAAAGTGTGGAAAAAGTGGAGGGGTCTGAATACTTTTTGAGTATTTTGAGTTCCTTTTTGAGTATCAGTAGCCAATAAAAAAATAATGTTTTTATTATTTTTATTTGATTTTAGCAGATCAGGTGAAGACACCCCAGCTACTGCATTGCACACAGGCAACACTGTAAGTCAGAATCCTACAGGAGACCATTTTCAGTTTTTTTCCCCATGTCCCCCACAGTGCAATGAAACATCTGCACAAATGAGGGGCGATAGCTCACAACTAAGCTGCATCTGTGATCTTACCTGCTTAAAACAGATTTGGTCTGGCAATTATTTAACAGGGGAGATCTAAAGAACATATTTAGCTCATTTCTCTTCCAGCCCCCCACAGCTATACAGGAAAAAAAAACCCATTCAACTACATCACTTTGTTACTTCTGTATATATGCTCCACATCTATTCAAATCATTCTAGAGAGAAAAGTCTTTGTATTAAATCATACAGTAGTGTGCGGAGCTTACTTCAGACTTTGTTTCTCTTCTTCTAGCAGAAACCTTTTCTAAAAAAAAATGTTTCAATTTTAGGGTGATTAAGAAAGCCTGAATCAGGGGCACACGCGATCCCTTTCATGCTAGGGAAATCTGTTCTTCAAAAATAGACACCTGCTTAACTTCTCATCTGCCTGTTTGATGTTGTCACTTACAATAGTATCAAAACACTTCCACTGCTGTTACATCTGCTCCAAGAGGGTTTTAGGTACAAAATGAAATGTCAGCCTTTTCTGGCACTGCTGCTGCTGAAATGTGTATAATATTGCCCTATACAAAAGAACATTTAAAAACATAACTGTATTAATAGGAATACATACATACATTATTTTATTGGGCTAGTGACATATTAAGTCTGAAATGTGCAATCTTAAAGAGAGAACCAGCTTTAAGGAAAGCTACGTAAAATAGTCCTGGCAGTTCTCAGTGATCTTGCACACCGGGTGCTCACAGTCACTAGGCTGAACAAAAGCAAAACTCAGAACCCACTCACACGTCACTTGTGACATGCATTTTTATTTTTTCGTTACATGTCATTTTATGCTGCAGTGCTTATTCATCTGGCGTTTTAATTCAAAAGAACTTTTGATGCTGTCTAAAATCATCTTGGTACCGTCTCGGTAACTGGATTCAATCTGTGATACGCCAGCATACCTGCGTGTCCGCAGACGTCAACACCGGGCAATTTCACACATCACATGTACAGAAACGTACAGCTATGTCTGATTGGAGGCTAGGGAATTCATTTAGGCACACTTGAAAGTTTAATCTAAAATGCAGAATAAAAGCCCAGAATGTTTCAGTAAAATCTTCTGTGATTGCCTTGATTTATTTGTGTCACGTTCTATTTTGGTGATCTACTACAAAGGTTGTAAGACAATATGGTCTGATTGATTACTAAGTAATATTCTGTTAACTGAATCATATTGCAGGAGAAAGAAAACTACATTAATTATACAGGTAGAAAGAAAAGCAATTTGATGATAATGAGAATTGCGGATAAAACAATATCGCCTTCACTTACTTTAAAAAATACTTACCAAAACCAAAGATATTTAAGAGAATGTATTCTGTGTTAGCTTTTGCATTTTAAATGTGTCATATTAAAGATGTTAACTACAGTAGTGGCTTACATGTTCTCCTCTCCAATAATGCAGACTGCAGAGAGGACTTTGACGATCTCGGTCATCATGTTAGTTTGTTTCGGGTCAATAGCTCTGGCCAGAAGTAACAGGCTCCGCTCATCTCCCAGGATCCTTTGCAGGCCATACTAAAATAAATACATAAAGATGTTTTTAAACTCCAGTAACCACAAGCGGTCTGTGAAATGTTTCAGGCTGGTAGCATATCATGAGATCATCGTTGTATTTCTATTCAGTTTCGGACAGGGAAAATTGAAGAGGTACGCTGGGACACTGAGCAAAAGCAACAAGATCAAAAAGAGAAGAAATAGGAAAATTCTTTATGACACATCCTGGGGGAACTTTGGAAAAGCACATGCCCTTTCATTCATGCCCTATGAAAATTAAATGAGGTAGTATCACCTTTTTTTGTTTGTGATCTTAGGTTTTAAACCTCAAGCCAAACCAGAAGGCAGTATTGTGTTTTTCAAAATAAGAGTATTGCCCAAATCCATATCTGCAGTGCATGCATTAACAGTGAATCTTCGTTAGGAATGTTCATTCAGAATCTCATTCCCAGCAGTCTTAGAGGAAATGTTACTGCAAAACCATATTTTGAATCTTTAAATACAGTATTAGTTTAATGAGATATACAACCAAATGACATTTAATGAGATATACAACCAAAACTTTAAACAGCTGAGGCTTTCTCTGCACAAAGCACAGCACCACAGCAGAATTAGCCATGATTGTTGAGGAACAGCACTGTGCAAGGCGGTGGGAGAAAATGAAGATTGTGATGAATTAATCCAATTCAGGACAGGCCTGCAGGGACAAAGAAACATTTTATTGTACCTTTAATCCCTCCTGCTCTTAGGATGACCTAGTCGAGTTTTGGGATTTTGCAAGAGAAAGCAATTTCTGGTCAATAGGAACTTAATGGTTGATAGAATCAAGGGACACAGTGCTATTTAGAAAAATCTCTTGAAAAATGATACCAAGGTTTCCAAAGGAAAAAAAAAACACAAAAAAGAAAATGGAGGGAATGAGTTATAGTGTCTGCAGAGCCAGAACGGTACCAGTTTAATTTTACACACAGAACTCAGTAATGTGTGCCTTTGGGCGACAATGTCACACTCCGCCAGTCTATGATGACTTATCCTGTAATGCACACAGCATGGCCTGGTTTTCAGGTACTCAGAGGGGGTCCTACACAAACCTGCAAACTTTTGTTTCCAGCTTTAATTTATTCCACCTGCATCTTGACTTTTCAGGTACTGGCCTGGTAGTGGATGATCAAGCTCTAATTTGATCAATTCATAACCAGCAGGCCTACACTACACCCTTCCAGGCAGTAAGGACCGAGGTAGCTGACATATTTCAGGTGATGGGAATCTTTATGCCTTCTGTCTGGCTCATACAGCAACAGAAATCTGAAGTCTTAAAAGAAACTGAAACACGGAAGTGCAAAAATAAAGAAACATAATTATTATTAAAAATACCTCAAATAATTAATTGAACTTCTAGCAGGCTAAGATGCCTTTTTGCAAGAAATACTGCATAATCTCTCAAGTGACCTACAGTATAAATAAACAGATTGAAAAATGCTGAGTGTGAACAAAGAATGTGGGAACAAGTGTTTTAATTTGTACTGTTTTAATTACACCTTGGTTTGTTACAGAACTTGGTCAGAATGACATGGTGTGGCAATGTACTTGGGACTGTATTATTCACCTCAAATATGAGGAAAAGTTGCTCTGGTGAATCTGACCTGAAATAAAAAACATTTTTCCAGTATCTTGAGAACATGTGTTTATCTGCAAGGGCTAAAGACCTACTGACTGTCTAGTAGATTGACAGTCCAGAGCACCTTCATTAAGGTACAAAACTGCAATATTACTTTAGATGGAGATAAAGAAAAGTAATGTTTGAAATAGTGTAGCAGATTACAGCGTTTGTTTCACTTACTACTTCAGAAGACGAAATGTAAGTCTGTAAAACATGTTTTGAGGTTGAAAGAAAATATCTATTATGTAAACACATTTGTGGTTCATTTACCAAACACCCTGTGACAAAGGATACTTTAACAGTGAGGCTGCACAGCTGGTTTTGAATATCTCACAGAACGAGAGTAGCTGTGGTTAAAGCCAATGGACATCACCAGCCTGAGTGCAAACACGTTTCAGCAGTTTAAATAATTCACAATTGAAAGCTTTATCAAAAGATCCATTTTATAGAAATCCATTCAGCCTTTTGTGACCAGGAATCAGAAGAGAGATGACAGTGTCTTTGGGAAAAGCAGAATTTCTATGCTAGATTATTCTGGGGTTTATTAAAGATGAAATAAAGGCCAGGGAATCCAGACCTCCCAAACCAAAAACGCACCTTGTTGTTCATAAAAGCTTTCAGGCACTGAATAAGTTTGTGCTGATTCCTCTTGTCAATGCTTTCTTGCCTGGAGGAAGAGAGCAAGAAAAAGAAAGAGTGAGCCAAGATGAGGCAATGATGTCCATCCTTGAGAAACGAATCTTATATTTTCTGTGAAGACTACGTTTCTTACTGCTTTTTGTCCAGGAGCTTCTCCAGAACGTCCAACAGCAGTCCCAGGCCTTCATGTCCAAAGTTATTAACCCAGCTGGGGAAAGAAAAATGTCCAGCATTAGACTTGAACCAACATCATTAAATAGCTTCAATTTGTTGCTGCCGCACTAAATGTAACTTACTCTAATTTTCACTGTCTCAATGTTCTCTCTCCCTGTTCTTTTCCCTTCTACACCAATAGTGGAGGTAACCCGAGGGAGTAACTACTGTTTAGTTTGAAAGCTTGTCTGCGCCCATATTGAATTACAGAGCCACAGCGTGTGTTTCTCTTTCTCAAAAAGAGAATGAGACTGACTAATGGTTTGTCTTGGAAGGAAGCTGTAAATATTTGTTGAAAACATTTTTTTTATCTTGTTGCTGTTTGTTTCAATATGTAAACATCGATCTAAAAAAAAGCACAGGACCATAAACACATTGACTGCTCTGTACAGCTCTATGGATCACCACTCAATTCCAGCCTCACCATTTTCATTGTTCATGATTCATGTGCAACACATCATTCCCTTGTGAAGTCAACAGGATTCTTAGCAAGCAGAAGTCATTTGTCTTTACTGTTCATGTATCCTTTTTTTAGCCTAAAAGGCAGTGCATGCCATCAGTAACGCTGCTGCAAGTACAATATAAAATCAGTAGTTAAAAATAATGGAATCACACAAACAAAATAAAATGCCCTTCCGTTCCCAGTTCAGAAGTCACCGTTAAATTTCAAATAATTTATCAAAGATGCTTTCATTTTAGCTTGCCTGGATAGACTCCGGCTTCCCCCGTGAACCTGTATTGGATGAAGAAGTTAGTAATGGATGGATGGACCTCCATTTTCAAAACTTGCTTTTTAATTAGGTTGTTTTTTAATTCAATGTCTTTGTATTTTGACAAGGCCAGAAGCGGACGTCTCACTTTCTCCCCATTTAAATTCCTGTCAATCAAATGAAGAGTCTATTTCTAATTAGAAATTATATCTGTTTCACATCCTTCAGAAGTAAAAAGCCACAGAGCTGCAAGGCCTAGAAATGTCAATAGGAATTAGGAACTTGAGCACTGCCAAGCGCTGGAAAGATGTTTCCACGTGCAAGAGCTGCACCCTGACACTTGCCAGATGGGTCTGTAGTTGCATCAGCAATTTCCAAGTGAATTGAGGACATCCACAACTTCAACAAGATACTCATAAAAGATCACGCAACCCCGGTAAAAAAAAACCGTTTAAATCACGTTGCTACTGAAGGAAAAAGTTGATCCATAAGGTATCCAACAAGTTTCTCTCTTGTTATCTGAAAGCTGAGGGCTGGATTGAGGACTGAGATGTGGGGAAATGGAGTGGCTTGGAAAACTCCTCCTGCCTACGACAAGCACATCAGTATCTACACCAGTAAATAGGATGCAGAAATGATTCAATAAAAGTCCATGCGGGACATCATTATTCACAGAAGAAACGGTGCCCTTCATTTTACATTCTCATGATGGATTTCCTGAGTCGGGCACAAGTGGTTCACATGCATTGTGCCAGGCAGAACTTTGCAGCTACAGTATGCAAACCCCATGAGGCTGCTGCTCAGCCATGCTAACGCATCACAGAGCGCAGACACACCGGCAGTGACATATGCTGCATTCACATTTTAATCATTTCGTATGAAGAAGTCTAAATCTTAATTATTTATAGTTTGCCTCTGAAAACGCCCACCCCGACGCTCTAAAGCCTGTGTCCCACAGCAAAGTGCTTAACATATGCAAGATGGATGATGCAGTAATCAATACAGAATTGCAAGCGATAATTGGCTATAAACCACACCATGTCGAGAGACTGCAAATGATCCACTTCAGACAGGCCTGCTCTCTGCTCTATCTGATTAACAGGATGATGCTGGAGATGTCCATGATTACATCCAGATTATGTTATTAACATTACTTATTTGAAGCCCAAGAGTGTCAATAAAACAAAATACATAGAGCAATTTGTTGCATTATGGAACATAACTCAATGATTTATCTTCCCATTTGAGGACAATTTTACTCAATAACGGCATGTATATTAAAGTCATTTGTATTGACAATCAGTGTCACAAACAGCCCTCTATTAGCTTTGATGTGTGTTCGCCTACGGCAAAGCTTGGTGGTAAAGTAAGGTATATTCAAATCTGCTTTGAAATTTACAGTGAATTACAAACACTTCAAGCCCCTGCACACCATTATTCAATATTCATTACTAGGCAACCAAACCTAATTTGCAACTTATTACTATTTGCTCTACAGTATATTATTATGATCTGCTTTGTTAATAAAACAAAACAGTATAATGTTGAAAATTTATAACTGTCTGTTTACTAAGCGCTTACAGTTTAATGTTTGCTCTTTCACTTCATGCTGCTTTTAGTGGCTCATCACATACAAACATAGTTAAACAGAGAGAGAATAAAGAAAAATGAGCTTTCCAAGAACATCCTGTTTTCCTTGTTTAAATGAGGATTGTTGCTGCTAAGCATCTAATCTGAACATCACATTAAGGAAGCAGTAGGAGAAGAGGAAAGAAATCAGTCAGAAAAAATAATAAAGGATGCACGCGGGGTGGATACAACGGGTGAGGAATCCTTTCCTTCCCAGAATAAGAAGCTGCTCTTCAAAGTCATGGAGTCACGGAGTCAACACACTCAGCGCCCCCAGCTGGAGCTCAAAATGGTGTCACAATCCATCTCTCTCGCTCCTCTCCCCAGCCTTTTAATTGAGGGTCAAGGTGCACAGCAGTCTTCTCAAAGACAACATGCATTCATGCACGGGGCACAACACATCACCAACAGCTTTCAGCTTAGTTGATGGATGTAATCTGTGTTTTGTCTTAACTCTAACAGATTAGGCACCAGGACTGTGTGCGCTGCAGAGAAAATTATCATGCAATTCAGACGTGCTGCTCAGAGCACCCTGAAAATCACGACCGTATTCTTAAGACACCATGGTCAAAGTGTTCTGTCTCTTTAAATAGGCTTAATAGCAAATTCATGAAAAAAGCATGTAAATACAAATTTAATTCGTGAGAAGATAAAACCAATAGTTTGATTTATTTATGGGTGTGTTCAATTATTTAGTGCATATGGAATATGAGTGGTGGGAGGTGGGGGATTCTTGTATCCAGGTAAAGATGATGCAACTGGGATTGATTTCAAGATACGCTTGTAACATGACTCAAATGCCGTTATTAAAAATAGAACAATTTAAAACTCGTAACCTGACAGCAGAAACTCTGGCTAATAGTTAAATAGGCTTCCCTTGTGTGTTGTTACATGCTTTTATCAGTACAACCACAGACTACTGTACCTTCCCACCACTGGGAAAGCTGCCATGTTCATTTTCCAGAAGTGGGCAAAGCTGAATAGCAATGTGTTCTGACCCAGGAGTGAGTGCTTGTGCTCTCTGAGCTTCCAGTGTGCATTTGTTAGAGTACAGCAGTACAGGACGGACAGAGAGAGAGCCTTGCATCTGGGAATGCCATATGCATGACGAGAAGTTCACACCCTTATTCAGTGCTGATGCTGAGTACGTCTGTGTATCCTCTTGCTTGATTCACTGCTTAACCCTGAGATTTTTATTTGCACTTTGAAAAAGAATTCTTAATCATGACATATCGAAGGGAATCATCCTATACAGTCTCCACATTTGCAAAAGAATCGTTACAAAAAGCCAAATTGACATAAAACCATGTCTAACATCTTCGCATAATGTACTGCAGTATATACTATGTCAGGTTAAAAAACATAAGTAATCTTCTGTTATATGATAAAGTAACATTGACCAACTGAAAGAAACAACATTTATCACAGGTTTATAGTAATCTGTTAAAATATACATGAATCCCTCATTTTCAATCCAGGGGATTCCTGCACCTTCTCTCTCTGCCTCCATGATCATGTCGCCACACTGTAACGAAACCGGCAATAAATCTGTCAGAGCCTGTAAAGCTGCCTCCAGCCTGGCCTGTCATTTCCCACACTGTCGACACAGAACCTGGAGTTTTCATTACAAAATAAAGACAAGAGCATGTTGAGATGTGGATGATAGGTATGACTGAACTGCGATACTTTTAGGAATCATGTAAAATCCTGAAGCAAAATGAAAAACAGGATCCAAATTGTCATTGAAGAAAGTCTGCTTTACTAAGCCACTGTTGGTTTTGTAATTCTTGTTTTTACATTGTATTTAATTTTTGTTGTTATACACATGGAATATGGTTTGGTTCATTTTAACATCCTGCCCATGATACAGACACACTAAGTACAGGGCCATTACAAGCATAGCTTGTAGTTTATACACTGTATACACTGTATGTTTGTTATTGATAAACAAACAGTTCTTGTCCACTCAGGTAGTCTTCTGATAAAAAAAGGCTTTCTTCAGCCCTCTTGTGAAATATAAAGGTAAAACATGCTGGAGAAAATTCTTCTTTAATTAGACCAATTACTTTTCTTAAACTGTGTCAGTGCATGACAAATGCACTAACGTAGCACCAACACCAATGTTATTAATGGATTTGATGATAAAGTCACATCTATTTACTGCCTTTCACAGTACTGAAAACACATTTGCAAAGCAGTAATGGGTACTCTGGTGTTCTGCAGGGTGCAGTCTCTGTCCCACAACACATTGACATCCAGCTGTACAATCAAGGGACCTAAGCTACTGTATGTCATTCTTTATTATTCAATCTCTTGGTGGTGTCATAAATTGCACAGATTTGCAAGATCTCTACAAAATCAACATTTAAGGTTTACATCTTTGTAGAGGTCTTTTTTTTGCTTATTATTGTTCTTTAAATACTTTACACACTCATGTCATATTTACAATGCAGAATATTTGACAATGATGCCAGCATGATGTGCAAGATGGATCAGATGGTCTCAACCCCTTTGAAAACTTTTATATGCTCTAACATGCTAGGAAGCAAATAAAAGAATAGAGCCTTTACAAAACAATAAGTAGAAGTCAGCTGAGGGACGGTTAAGCTCTTGAGTTTAAATGAATCTCCCTGAGAAAATGCTATATTTTCCGCTA